CAAAAGGAAGGCAAATGAACAAGCCTTAAGATGATGCCAGTAACCCCATATGTCCAAAAATTGACGAACGCCTGATTCCACCAGGCCAGGTCAAGACACAAAACTTACAATGAATTAAGTCCGGAAAGCAACACTGTACAGGAGAGGAATTAGACACATAGATCTACAAGAGACCAACGTTCGATTTCTGAGTGGGGAGAATTTTTTAAGAGTATCTCGGTCTTTCTGCTGGGATGTTAAACCACTCTCAACCCAGGTTGGCCCTGACAGGCAGGCAGGGCCGAAAGCCCGCGTTCTAAATTATGATCAAACTTGTGTCGATGGGAAAATAAAAATCACCTGGGGCCACTGACCTAAGACAGCTAAGCTCTTAAGCTGCTGCGTCATTGACGCCAGTGGTTTGTGGGTGTGAAAAGTGGCAACAAAAAGCGAAACAGTTCTTCTCTTTTAACAGAAATGCTCTCATCTCTACATCCACAGGGGAGCTGTTTAATTACTATAATATGTAGTTAAAGAAAAGCATGATAGAAAAGTTTGGAGTTTTGTTTTCATTACGATATTTTCTCCCAAACTCTAAATTCCAAAACGACACAGAAAAGGGGCGGTTCAAAAGGGGGTCTCTTGTCCTCAAAAATCAACTAGGAGTAAGACTTTCTTGGTTCAGCATACAGGACAAGGACAATGTGTGTCATGCCAAAACAGCATAATACTTTTGGTCGGAACGACATCGGTCTGGCAAAGAGTTGACTGGGATAGGGAAATAACTAGCTCTTCAAGGACGCACCGGACACGTTTGTCACATCAGCCAGCTACAGGTTAAAGCCAATTGAAGAGTGTTGTTCCACCGTTATACACAAGTTAGACACAAGAACTTCCGCGGTCTGTTGTATACATCTTGTTGTTTGACGTTTAAAAACATAATTAAGAAATTTGTATTATGTACTCTGCATAATTTAGCAAAATTTGATAAATCTTTGCACATTTTCTGACTATTTTCCTTTATCATTCTTTGTTAAAATTAACAGAATCGCATATCACTTTTTTGGAGCTCAGTTTGCATAATTTCATATATTTTTTGCCCAAAACCGTGGGGACAGATTATTGTTGACAAAGGATGATTTTTTAGATGTAATAAATTAGTGTATGTACTGCCCAAGAGGAAAAA